AGATGTAAATGCTATTAACTGAAGAATTCATCTCAGGGATTTTCCCATTTCATTTATTAAAATATCCATATTTAAGCTAAAGTTACAGAAGCATTTTTTTCATTCCACCCTGTACATGTCTACCTTCTAGGGTGGTTTAATTTACCTTATTGATGTATTTAATTTATCTTATTGATCTTGATTTAATTTATCTTCACTGCATAGAAATTTGAGTCTGGAAATGCTGCAAGGTAGTTAAATGTTACTTAAGGCAAGCTGTATTCATTACCAATGTTCTCTTGCAACTGACTGCATTGACTGTTGCAAAACTGTTCCTATATACTGCATGCATAATAGCTGAATTGGCTAAAGAACAGGTCCTATTCAAAGTTGAGTCTGCTCTGTCCATTCCATTCCCCTGTCAAATGAGTCTTAGATGTGCAGAATTGACTTCAGACTGAAGTTCCTGCATGGCCATGATGACAGGCAACTCTAAAACATTTTTTAAAATTTCCTAATTCCAACATACTGTCCCTTTGAAATAGCAACATACCTTGTACCTTTTAGGCACTCATCATATAGCGTGGATGAGGCCAGGACAGACCTCGGCATTACCGTAGGGCCATACTGAAACCTCATCAGTTGCCTAAGGGTGCCATGTTTATGTTGTTTTACTGCTGTGTTACTATGTTCTACCATATGCAGACATGATGGTTCAAATAGGAACACTCCTGTACTTCCATTTAATACTGGAGTTAGCAGAATGTATTTAGATCTGCTGGTCCATCATTGTTTGATTTGCTGAAGGGATTTTTGATTCTCCCATTCATAGCAATAACATAACATCTCCTTCATAAATCATACTGCTGAAATGAAAAAAGTTTGAGGTACCCCTAAGTGAACTTTTATGTGGACGGGTGGTAAAATCCATTCACTTCTGGGGTTTATAATAAAGCCTTGGATTCAGAGGTCATTCTGAAAGTGACGATTTGCAACAGGCGATAGTTGGTGGACTACATAGAATAAACCCCAGACGATGAAGCTTGCTCAACCAACAGACTTTATGGAAAGAAAGTTGAAAAAAAAATGGTTATGCTCCAAAACCATTTCACACTTGTTTCAGCCTCAAGCTAAACACTTAAACTAGCTGAGAAGTGAAATTGGAATTATTCCTTCATTTTCTTTCTTTGTTTCTCATACCAATTTCTCACGATGTTTCAAATGGATACATTCCTACAATGCTTTATAGAAAGCTCAAAGGGAGCTTTTATATGCCATCTCTCCAGGCTGAAGAAAAAGAACATTAATATCCTAAGAAATTATCAAGAATCTGATATTTGTTAATCCACTCTCTACTCTTGAGCCTTGCAAGTAAGGGGGGGGGGAATGAAACATTTATACTTATTGGAGGTCTAGTCACCTCTGCAATTTCATTTGCTTTGGGATTTTAGCAGTAGAGTTATACTGCTTGCTGTACTTGGGTGTTTTTCTAAAAATGTATACTATTTGTTCAACCTGTCACAAATATTAGCATCCCTTGAAGGGGAAATAGAATGCATGACCATATTGTTCTATTTATAACGACAAAATAAACAAGCTTGAGAATATAATAAAAAGATGGACCGCCACAGAAAGCAAATTATAGGCTTTTGCCATTTTTTTAAATAATTGCTTAGCCAATGTACCTGCCATTTGTCATTTCTCGCCCTGAAGCAGCAGAACGTAAGTCATATCTCCCTATGATCTAAATTTAATGATAAGCTTAAGGATTCCAACTTCACATCATTATCTGTCATTCTTATATGGATCTTTATATCTTCTCAATTACAGTGTTTGTATTTTTGTCACTTTTCATTTATTTCAATATATTCAATAATTGCAATATATTTAGATTTCATTTTTTCACTGTTTAATCATGGGTTTTTTTGGTGGTGGTGCTGTAGTATTTTTGTATTTCACTATTTACAGTTTTTTGAAGCTAACGTTTCTGAAACCAATGTAAATATTAAAACTTAAGGTGAAAATAAATGCAGGTGAGGGCTATAAAAGTAAAGCCACCATCAGGGTGCATATAAACAGATTCTTTTCTTTTCAAAAGAATTAGCCTGAGAAATTGACAAGCCAGAAATGACAGCCAGGCCTAGGGAGTGAATAGCCAACCAATTGGAGACCAGAGCAAATGATACTGATTTAAAATTGGAGACAAAGAGAATGTTCCCAATAAGAGCTGAGGTTTTGCAGAATTGAACACTAGAAAGTAAAGCTGCTGAGCTTTAATGGCACCCACTGCGTAGGGATCAGCAGCAGGTTTACTGGAAGCTATGTATCTTGTGCTTGCCTCTGTAAATTCCTTGATCTCTAGATCAAACTCTTTATATCTTGATGCTGGAACTTTGACATTCAGTCTGAAATGAACATTGCTACTTCCTGGCCCTTGCAACTCCAATGAAAGTCTGAGGATTGATTCATAGCTTTAGAACCAAGTATAATGGTACCCGGTTTTTTTTTATGACTAGTTTTCCAGCTAGAATCTTGTTAGGAGAGGAAAACCAAACAAATACAAATGAAACTAATGTGAAACTCGGTACAGACAGACATTATATATGAACTGAAGAATTCAGTTTAAAAAATAAACTTTTATTGAAATTTTGAGAATATTGCTTTTTATCAGATTATTGCCTTTAATGCCCTGATAATCAATTCAGCAGAAATGTGAACTAGATTTAATATACAACCTGCACAAAATAAGTGACCAGGTTATGGTGTGTGGAATTTCTGCTAGATTATCCAGATTGAAATACACTATCAAGGCCAAATTTGGACCATAGATATAAGAAAAACTAGATTTTCCAATACACTAGATACATGCTCAAATATCCATACTGTGGAATTTAAAAGGATTTCCAATGCATAAAAAAATATGCTTTCTCAAAGACCTTACAGAGAGACAACTGGCATTCTGTCAGCTTATTTCTACTCCAAACCCCAACAAAGCCCGTATCTAAAACAATATTTTGCAAATACTAATAGATATTAACATTGTTTCATTGTCTCTAACTTTTGAAGAAATAAAGCTGAAGCTAACTTGAAACTCTAGAACAAAATATCTGAAGTATTTGAAGGAAAGATGTGTTACCCTTTATTATTTGTTTATAAAATTTATAGGCCTCCAACCTTACTCAAAGTAACTGGACTTACAATCATAAAAAAAGAAAACTATATAAATTAAAAACATAAACAAGTCAATGCAAAATCTAAAACACTACAATCCAGTTGTGATATATGCATGACTATTTTAGAAATTAAACTGAAATTATCTGAGAATTATTACATTTTTGTTTTTTCTACTGTGAAATAAATTAAGTAAAAAATGTAACCAGATAAAATAAGTTAAAAGGAAAGCAGAGTATGGTTATAATTTCTTGTGGGTTTTCTAAATAGCAAATTAGGCTAAAAAGTCATAGCATTTATTGTTTCAGGATATTGCTATACAAATTATTCCACAAAGAAAACCCACATTAGTTATTTATTAGTTTTTTATTCATTTACTATATAAATTAAATGCTTAAAACCTACAACACATACAACAAACAAATCAGAAATGACATAAAAATTAAAAATGAATCAAGAAATATAACATATATTGACACATTTATTTATTTTTCAAATTTATATAGCCAAATGACAAAGGGTAGATGTTCTGTTTTAGAATCAGAGGCATTGAAGCGAGGCAGGAATAACAAAACACAACTTCTTTATAGAGATCACAAACAGAACAGAACAGCAAACAAAATGGCGCTAGCCCTTTTATACTCCCTTTGCAGGGACAGCATCAGCCTATCAATGCAAGGCTAGTCTCCCACCTTGCGCATGCTCACAAGGCTGGAAACAGCCTGTCTGGTCCCAGGCAACCACATGGTCTGCCCGGGCCTTGTGCAGCCTCCCAGGACATAACAGTAGCAAACATGAAAGAGGGATCAGATAGATTTTTCACAATAGTTCTTAATACAAGATGCATTCGAACCTCTGTGAAGGGTAACATATTCCATAATACAGTGGCTGCCACAGAGTAGGCCTGCCATCTCATCCAAGATTTATAAACTTCAAAACCTGGGCCTTGCATTTCAGCCTTGGACAAGTCAGCATACACCCTGCAGTGCTGCATCTTCCTTCCCAGCAGTCAGCAGGAAAAAAGCCACACTTTGCTAGTCCCTGATTACTCCAATCTATCAGATAGTAATATTTGGCCACATTTGCTTGTTCTTCTCTATCAAACAGCCACAATCATCTCGTTCCTCAACTTGAGCTACCTTCACTTCTATATTACTTTGTTATGCTATTAAATTTTTGTGAAGACATTCTTTTGTTCACGGAGTTGTACTTCTGACAGCCATTTTTGTTACAGTTTTTATTAAGCAAATGGCCTCTTTAATCTAATTTCTTTTTCATTACATTTTTAGTTGTTGTTTCTTATTGTTTTACATAAATTTTATTAAATGTTTTAAAGAGCAAATAAAAACCAACACAGAATTAAAGAAAAGGAGAAAGAAAAACACAGAAAAAAATAGAAAGAAGCTTCCTATTTCCTTTGCAGCAAGTATACACATGATTACAAAATTATCTTGCTCTATGATTGTGTTGTTGTTTCTTGTTGTAGTCCATTCCACTTTTGATTAATAAAACACATTTAGCTTTTCATCTATGGTTACAACCCTTTAAATACATCTACACCTGAAAGAATAATACATGTTAAACAATATGCTGAGTGTATACAGGATTTCTTTCCTTTATCATTGAAAGTAGTACATTGCTACAAGCTGCATAGTTTCCAGTGGAAGTGCAACTGAGTCCCATATCTCTCTTTTAAAAAAATAAGCATTGTGTTTTTTTATTTCTTCCGACAATATTCGAGAGACATAATAAAACAATTTTAAAAAAAGTTTATACACCCAATATTTACTTTATCCTAATAGCATCTACCATACATTCAATTGCTGATCCCATTGAAAAATTACAGTCCTTTATGGATACAGTTTAGTGACATATAATACAAAGCACATAGACATATAATTCAAAGAAAGTGTTCCTATTTGTTGGGTTAAACTGGTAAAATGACTTTGTGAGATGGTGCTGAAGCTGCCATAACTAAAGATGAAACAGAAACATAATTAGAGAAGACAAAAAGCCTGGAATCTTGTGTAAAATATCCCTTCAGGAAGATAGAAAAGAAGGAAACAAGTAATTAAGGAACAAAAGGATAAATATAACCTGAATCGAACAAAGGAAATTGGGCCTGAATACATACTAATCAACAAAACAAAAACTTTGGGGTACAAAAAGGGTTCCTGAAGCCCCACCCCCACCCCTTGAGTCATCTTTGGATCCATACTTGGCACCCACGATCCTTCTAGCTACTGGTTGGTAACCTAGTAAGTGTGGATGAGGGGTGTATGTATGTATGAGAAAGAGCAAATATACACTGTATCCATTAAAGTTTGGTTCTTTAAATTCTTTTGGTATCCTTGTATCTCAAAGAACATGCTGTGCCTTAGTGTTAAGGATTTGGATGTATCCTTAATTATTTCTGCTCTAGCAGCACCTATCTGGAAAACCCAGACAGAAAGGAACGGGGGCTTACAAGAGCAACAGACTGTGAGTGGGTGAATGAGTGATCGTAAACCTCACCTGAGCTTGGAGATTTAATTGGCAGAGACAAGTCACACATGGACGTTCATCTCTGTTGTTTCTTTGTTTGTTTATATTTCTTACATTTATTATTTTTACAAATAACTAAAGGTGATGAATATATCCAACATACTCCCCCCTCCTATTTTTCCCACAACAACAATCTTTTAAGGTGGGTTGGGATGAAAGAGATTGACGGGCCCAAAGTCACCCCTCCGGCTTTCATGGCATTGAACTCATGGTCTCTTGTTTTCCAGCCTGGTGCCATAACCACTAGACCAAACTATATGCATACACACAAACACACATACACATCAGTAGAACAGATGAAGATTATAACTTACTTCAGGTGTAAAGTTCTCTGCAATATTTCCTTTAAGTGGAGATTTTATACAACAAAGTTCATTCTTTGGAATATGGAAGATAAAGATATGGATCCAAGTATTCAACAGTCTGCAGAGCTGATGTTATTAGCAACCTATAAAAGAACTACTAAATGAAGTAGATTAGCTAATGCTGTAATGAAAAGTGGCTATCATTTTTGAAATGTTTATGTAGCTTTTGTATATCTGTGAAGATATGTCCTGTAAACCTCTGTTTCTTTTGACTTTTCTTTCTTTATAATTCCGTATGTTTCTTATTTTTCATTTTCTTTTTTGACTCAATTAAAGCAATTGTTCTTATACCCTCTCCTAATATTTTACAGAAAATCCCATTTAAGAACACATTATAAACAAATCTTTTTGTTCTTATATCTATCACAAAAAGGCGTTCTTTTGCATATCTACTGAGGAGCTTGATTTATTGATAGTGGGTAAAAGACCGCACTAAGGTACTCATGGGTGGCTGCTTTGAACTAAATACACACTTTGTGAAATGGATTTACTCTCTCCTCATACAACTCATTCTAATCATTTTATATTCCATGCTGCCTATATTGCTATCATTGCTGCTATAGAAACCCATTTTATCTTGAAATTATTAAACTGATCTCACTACTCTCCATTTTCTTCCCATTTAATGGGAAGATAAGAAAGAAATGAATAACAGATTAGCAGACATTTTAGCCCATTAAAGGCACAATGTTTTCTTTCATTAATCCTTTATGTTACAAGAGTATAAAAACTTAGCCAGTACTAATTTTTCATGTAGTTTTCATAATTGTTTACAAAAAACAATTTCTTTTTGAGGGCATTTGTATTGGGGCATTTCAGACCACTGTGTTTTTCATCTGAATAAACCATTCTGAATCTATTTTAAAACTCATCTCAGACTAGGAAAAGTCTAAATTACCTGGTTTAATCTTTGCAGGAAAGTATTCTGTAGCAACTGCCACATTTATTTTTGCAAGTTTAGGCAATTGCCAGTCAGTTCAGCAATTGTCCTTTTTAGACAAAAAAATGCAGTCAAAAACTGACTCACCTGTTCAAATGTGGATTCTTTTTCTAAGTTAAAAATAAGGAAAAAGAAAAGTCTGGCATGGTATTAATCCTCTCTTCTCCTAAAAATACTAGAAAGCTGGGATAATAGCTAGATGGGGAGAGGGGGGGTGGGCAAAGCAGGAGAACACAAGATTGTCCCTGGAATGAAGGTATAATGTAGCCCAGGCTTTCAAGAGCAGCCAGTTCTGTCGAGTCTTTCTGACTTTTCTTGTCAGAAAGAATGAAGAGAGTCAAATGTATGACACCACTAAATCACAGGGCAGAGGCTTATTTCACTTGAAAAATATGAAGGCTTTATCTCCTAGTACCTGGAAGAGCCAGGCATGGAATTTAGGACTTTTTGCCTGGAACACCTGTGTGCTACTTACCTCTTTTTCCCCCCATATAGGTTCCAAAGATCCTTGAACTAGGAAACCATTCTCTGATGTGAAAATATAGAACTAAACTAAATTGAATAGCAAGAATGTTAATTTAATGATCTGGTGCCGTTGCTAGCATTTCTTTCTTTCATTGAAAAAAGGGGGAAGGATTCATTGTTGATCACCATGATTTTTTTTTCTTTATAAGAGAGACAGACAGATGGGTATTCAAAGCATATAAAATTTTGAGGAGTATTTTTATAAACCTTCTCAAACATTCAATACATGCATGTAAAAAAGAGGAGGAAGATGTGAGACCTGCTATGGAAGATATAAATACTGGTCAGATGCTCGACAATGCCGCTTTGATAGTAGCAATAAAGATGCTCAAAGGGAATCAACTGTAGCAATAGCAAAAGCACTTAGAGTTATACAACACTTCACAGTGCTTTACAGAGCATATTGAGTGGTTTACAGAGAGCATATTGTCCCCAACAATCTGGATTCTCATTTTACCGACCTCAGAAAGACAGAAGGTTGAATCAACCTTGAGCCAGCCAGAATTGAACTCCTGGCAGTGGGCAGAGTTAGCCTGCAATGCTGCATTCTAATCATTGCTCCATCATGCTTCTGGTGTATCATACAATCCTATGTATCCACATAGGATTCCTGTCTCCAATTATAAAGAGAATTTCTCCCTTTTTTTTTACAGTAATTCTGACTTCAACATGAAGTCACATGGCCAATGACTTTTCTGGTCCTGCCTAAAAAAGTCTGCAGTTGTTCCTTGAACTTAAAGAGCTCATGTTTCCAATTATTCAGCTACACCTTTTCTTCTTTCCTGTTTTCATTTCTTGAAATTAGTAGTTGATTTTAATATGACATTAGCCAAGGCTCTTCCTGATGTCTGTTTTAAAAAAATAAATCATTTTTTCTTGTTGATACCCATTTCTACAGATTACCTCCAACCTTTGTGTGTTTTTCAGCTCTGTGATTGCCAGTAGCTATCAAGGGAATGATAGATACATAATCCTCCTAATCTGTTTGTGAGAAGATTGGATGAGTATGCAAATATATGACCACATGAGATTTGGATTGTGCAATTTAAGCAACACTTTGACAGCTTGAGCAACACAATCCTTCAAAGGCAATTTGCGAAGCAAAGTGGCACTATTATTTAGGGACTTCTGTGCATGCATAAATCACAGGCAGAAGTCCCACCAAAATAAAAAAAAAAGCATCCTTGTAGTGAATAAGAAAGCGGACACAGACATAGTTAGGCAACCACTGCCACCCCCTTTCACTAGATTTGTTCAACTCAGCTATCACAGGATTAACAGCAAGGGCTTGAAACATGTAATCCAGGAACAGGAGAACAAGTTCAGTCTTGCTTAGGTAGCCCTTTGTGGTAAGGCAAAGGGAGGAAGATTTCTGGAAGATGGCCCAGAGATGCAAAAGGAAACTGATTACCAGAGAGGAACCAAAGAGAAAAAAGGCCTGGATAACTGAGGGATGGCTGAAAAAAGTAGGCAAGATGGAGCCTGGAAGCAGCCGTGTGATTTTGATGAGTTAGTTTTTCAGAGAACTAAGTGGTGCTCCAGGGAGAAGGAACTCTAGTAAGAGCAAAACTAATCGTCTCTGGTGCTGAAAGTGAGGAAGGCTGCTGAATCAGAGTCTAGAAGATCACTAGGCACTAGGCTACATATCAGAAGATGGTGAGTTCTAGTCCTGCATTAGAAATGAAAGCCAGTCAGGTGATTTTGGGCCGTCACTCTTTCTCGGCCCAATCCACTTCACAGGGTTATTATGGGGGGGGGGAGCAAATAGGAGGAGGAAGGTATGTTTGCCGCCTAAAATAATAAAGGTGGAATAAAAAAAGAGACCTGATAGAGCAGAAAGGAGGCAAACATTCTAAATAAAACCAGGAGACTTGCTACCATCCAACTATAATTGTTTGGGGCATCTGATTACATGAAGCTAAAAGAAAGTTTTACTCTTTCTTTTTCTAATTTTTAATAAACATCATTTTTCAATTCATAAGAGAGAGATACTACTGTTTTCAGCTCCTTGCAAGGAGGCAGGACTGCTCTTCTATGGCCACATGCCTCAAAACTATTAGTTACCCTGTATAATTCATGTTCCTTTCTTTCTTTCTTCCTTCCTTCCTTCCTTCCTTCCTTCCTTCCTTCCTTCCTTCCTTCCTTCCTTCCTTCCTTCCTTCTCTGAGGCCACTCTTTCACCAGCTGGTGTTAAGGAAACAATTCAAAGTATTTCCTTACTCAAGGGAGATAAGGGAGTGAGAAGTACTACATAACCCATAACCACATGTTGCAAGCCAGGCAAGGAAGCATGGTTTGAAGGGCATGGTGAAGAAGATCAAGACTACTCCCACAAAGTATTTAGCAGGCCTTTCTTCCTCCAGCTATTCATGACAACCAGATGAGATCTCCTTGGAATACTGTTGAGGTTGAAGAAAGCAATTGCATGAGACATTTCAGTGTGTTGAAATGAATTGCGAAGTTTTCTGAAAGGGCCTCACCAAATTAAAGCTCCAGTATGAGATTTTTTTTTCACAGTGAACGCTAATCTATGTAATTTATGACTGTTTAGTAAATTAAAGGAATTTTCTAATGAGGCCAACAGAATTTCTTTGTTATCTTCTAATTTAAAAAAAACAATAAAATATAACAAAGAAAATATAACTGTTTTGTAAATACTTTTCAACCTGTATAGAATAATTATCTTTGCCAAACCCCAGTCTTGATACAGAGTTCTTTGTAACATCTTAAATGCTAGCATAACATTTTTCCTGTTTAACCTCTGCATTTTTCCACAAAGTTACATAAACATATTTAACGATTTGAAGTCTCTGTCATCCCTCACCAAAGCCACAGATGGAGATGACCAATTCATGCAGGTGACAAAGTCCTCAAGTTTCTTGTAACACCAAAATAAGAAATCTAATATATAACTTTTTTAAAACTTACCTTGAGGAGGCCAATGAACTTCATTCTTAGATCAGGGATTTCTTTATTAACTCTTTGTATGTACTGTTTGTTATGGTTCATTCTAGTTCAATGTGTCAGTGATTTTTAGATTTTAGGGAGCTTTTCCCTTTTGTTTGCACTCCCAATTTTGCTTTTCCCCTAACATTTCCCTTTCTTTTTAACTTTTTTCTTTGCTTGTTTGTATTTTATACTTTTCTAAAAAATGTAATATAGATTTGGGGAAAAAATCTTTATTAATTGGAAATGTGATAGTTTAACTTTGGAGACATTTGTCTATAAAAAAAGATTACAAAGATAAACAGATCGGTCATTCAACATAACATTTCCCAGAGTGATGAGTTTGAATTTGTCTAATATTTCTCTGGAGTGTTTAGCAATAGGATTAAATAAATTGGAGTTAATTGTTATGATAGAATGGTTCAGATCTCAGAGATTTGAAATGTGCATCAGCGCTTCTGAAGTAATTCAGCTGAGAAATTTTGAAAAGAAAAAGTATGAGCAATCACGTGCTGATAGCCTAGTTAATCCATAATTCAAATGAAACATTACAATCTATTATCCAGAGAGACAAAACCACCATACATTCAGGCATAGAAATGGGTTTCATGCCAATTGTTAGTTGAAATTCTAACTGTAATAATTTAAAATAAAAAAACAGCTTTAAAGAAACTCAACTGCTCGTTAGTATCTTATTCAGAATAGGGAAGCCGAAATTGCTCAAGAGAACACATTAGTATCTCAAATTTGGGCACTTTAAGCTCTGTGAACTTCAACTCCCAGAATTTCCCAGCCAGCATGCAAAAAACTGGATTAGTGATTGCAGCTGGAGGCTTCTAAGAATTAACCTTGGGAACCTTATCTGGTTTTAGAAGTTAAACAGGACCAGGCTGGTGAGTACTGGGATGGAAAATTACCACAGAATTCAAAAGTGGGAAGCTAGACTGCGAAGTTAAAAAAAAAACAGGCTGGTAAAATCAAGAGCAAACTACTTCCCTACTATTGCAAAAAAACAAAAACAAAAACTACAACTGATTTCTAAACACTCTGTATTTTTTAATGAATATTTTGGTCATTGCAACTTTGCCTAAGAAGGCTCTCTTCCATAATAAAAATATTGAATTGACGAACTCAAAATGGAAAGCTAGTTTGGTGTAATGGTGAAGGCCGCAGACTAGAAACTGGGAGACTGTGAACTCCAGTCCCATCTTAGGCACAAAGCCAGCTGGGTGTGTTATGTCCCGAGCCTTGCAAACGGCTCGGGCGTTTGCAGGCAGTCCCGGGCAGATGCAAAGCTGCCCGGGACCAGACAGGCTGTCGCCAGCGCCGTGCGCATGCGCGGGTGCTGGCGCGGGAAAAGTATCGCATTTACCCGGGAAACGTCTATATAAGAAGCTGGGAGGTTTTGGGAGCTGCTGAAGCCATCTACTTGTAAGCTGAACGCAGAATAAAGGAAACTGAGAACTTCAACTGCTTCTCGTGTCTGCTTCCCGCCAAGGACTCAACACTGGCGATGAGGATGGGATCGCCTTACACCGCCTGGAAAGGAAGAAGTGTAAGCTTACCCAAGTGAGTCCTGAGCGGCGGAACGGCGTCGACTCGGCAGCTACCCGCCAATCCAGTGCGCATTCGGGGGTAGGCTGGCTGATAGACCCGTCTCCTGAAGATGGCGAAAATCGGAAGGCTTTCGGAATTCGACGTCTCACATCCAGAGCGGTGGGAGTCATACGTAGCCAGGGTGGAGAACTACTTCAAGGCAAACCAAGTGAGGGAAGAGAGCTTGAAGGCTGCCACCCTGCTTTGTGTTTGCGGCCAAGACGCCTTCGACATCGCAGAAAACCTTGCAGCACCTGTTCCAGTAGAGTCTGTAAGCTACGCAGATCTGAAGAAGCTACTGCAGGAGCACTTCCACCCCAAGATGTCCGTCATCGCATGGCGCCACACCTTCGAGCAGAGGGATCAACGGCCCGGTGAGTCGGCCAAAGAATTCATCGCCGCATTACGGAAGGCCGCCAAGCACTGTGAGTTCAAAGACCTCGAAGAACGACTGAGGGACC